TTCAGAAACAAAGATCTTTGTGTACGATATGATAGAGATAATGACACATAATGTTATGGTGACACGCCCGCACCAAAAGGTTATAAGATAGCTCTTTAGGTATGATGCTGTGGCAACACCGGAATAAACCCAAATGCTTGCAATGACCACATAAGTTCTCTTGCAAGTTACAATTTGTCTGTAACTAGAACCCAGCAACAGAGCGAGAAGTCTATCTAGGCTTATTGCAGTCAATGTAAGTAAAGAAACTGCCGCCACGAGATAGCCCACCTTAAATGAGACGGCTTCTAAGAACCGACAGAGACGCCAGTCCTCATAAACCAGGGTCATTATATAGGCAATATTGAGAGGTTCTACAATGATTCCAACACAGAGATCGGTTGTCGCCAAACAACGGAACAAAAGTTTAGACGGCAGATGAAGAGAAGATTCTTTGCTAAGGGCGACTAAAATCAGTACATTCCCAACACATGCCACTACGGAGAGGAAAATGTTGAACACTGAAAGATAAATCAGGTGTTCGTGTTTTTCTCTCGTCAAGCCTGCTGGGCATCGCAAGTCTTGGAAAGTAACTGTTTGCTCTCCGTTTTCACTTCCATTTTTCATTTCCAGCAGCACATGAGTCGGTTGCCAGTCAAAGGGAGCTACTGTCAGAGTTTCACGAGCAATTCAAGGTGGATGGGAACAGAATTTCAAAGCCTTTTTTTGCTCTATGGTATCAGTCGAGAGACAGGTAAGAGCAATTTACGGTGCGGGAAGCAGCATTTCTGAAATACGATTTTCTATGGTAAGGACCCAAGATGATTTAATTTTTCAAGACAAAGTTTCAATATTGAATTATGTTGGCCCAGTAGCAGCTGCTAAGGAAGTGATTGCAAATAATCACCATAACGTATTCATTTTACCTGAGATCAAGACCTACCTCAGTGCCGTAATAACAGAAGAGTTGTGGGAGAAAACTACGATGGAGTTTCAATCTGAAAAAGTGTCATTGTAGGCAAAAGTGAATACAAATGTGTGTATTTTTTTCAATTTGTGATTAAACGTGGCATTGAAAGCAAATGTAGATATTTGAAATGGAAATAAAAAATATACAAAGAGCAATATTAACGAGACAAGGGGTATAAAGAGAAAGTAAATTTCTAACGAATGGTTTACTTAAACTATGTAAACTTCAACTCAAATTTGTCTGTTGTCAACTGAGCTTCAAGTTAGCGGATCAGTCTAAAATTGGCGAAAAGTTTTTGCGACATAGGCAACGACATTTCTCCTGTTTTCTCCGAGACAAAAGGCAGGGCAAAGCTAATGAAATTAGTTTATCTCTGGAATTCGTTTTGGCAACTAGTGGAAATGTCTAAAATGGAAAGTAGTGCAAGTTTCGAGTATAAACAAAGAGCAATAATGAGACAAAAGACATTAAGGGAAAGGAAATTTCTGACGAATGGTTTACTTAACATGTGTAAACTTTAACACAAATTTTGTCAGCTGTCAAATGAGCTTCAAGCTGGCTGGCGGATCAGTCTAAAATTGGAGACAAGTTTTGGCGACATAGGCAACGACATCTCTCCTGATTTCTCCAGGAAAATAAAACGCATATAGATAATGAAAAGATTAAAAAAAGCAAGAAAGAGGGAAATTAATGAGATAATTAATGAGTCAGAAAGGGAAAATCAGAGCGATTTCGATTTCACCTCAGATATCTTTAGCTTGGGGCAGAAAGCATTGCAGGTTCTTAAAGTGGTTTCTTACTGACGAGGTTAGTTTTATATTAATTAAACATCTTATCTCAATTCGACAATGCATCAATCTCATTATTTCCAGTTGACAGGCAAATTTCCTGAGCAAACTTTTGGTGCTAACGGGATAGACAGTCTGACTGATATAGTGACAATCAAAAACGTAAATTAGTTCTCGGTCAAATCTGTTAAAATTATCTGGAGTACGAATGCCTATAATTAAATTAGCTCTCATGGTAATGTGTGATAAATCGAAATAGAAAGGAGAACAGGTTCCAACAGATAAGAACAAAAATTAGATGAAATACATCGTTAGCTCTCCCACCTAAATTTCTACCAAAAAAAAAAGATTAATTATCTATAGACGGAAAAAATGATTCCGAAGTTTTTCAAGTTGGTCATTGCGATAAGTGTTAATGTTCTTAATACTTCTGGTTTTTCTTCCCTTTCCCCCCTCCTCCTCGATTTGTCACTCGTCCGGGATCTTTCACCCGGAATTTCCGAATTGGTGTTAGTTTTGCATCTGATTTGTGGAGACATCTTACCAATTAGGAAGCAAAGTCAAGCAAAACCAACTTTTGACACTCAACTGACAATTGCTGTATGTAAGAAATAATAGAGGCATAGACTAACAGTGAACTAACGCTTTTCGGCATAGAAAAAGAAGACAATTTTTTAGTGGAATGGAGGAAGGGGAGAAAAACAAGAAAAATCGCGGTTTAACCCGATTGGTTGTAGTGATTCCTTTGGTTTTGTTTTGTTTTGTCTCTTTTGTTTTTCGTTTCAGAGATTCAAATGAAGTCTTCTCCATCACAAGCATAAGGGAGAGCAAACAGCATTTTGAGTTGTTTCCTCTGAGTCCGAAAGTTAGCCTTCAAACGGAGGAAAACCACCAGATATTATATTTCGTAAGGTAGAAAAAAGACACCTAACTGGAATCCACAAAGAAGGATAACTGAACAGACGAGGATAATTATGTATGGAGATAATGAACAATTATCGTAATGACCAACTTGAAAATACTCTAAATCCGTCATTCTTTCAGTTTATAGATACTCAGTCCTAGCTTTTATGATAGAAATTTGGGCGGGAGATCTTACCTGGTATCTCATTTGTTTTTCGTTCTTATCGGATGGAACCTATCTTCCTTTCTATTTCGATTAATCACACATTGCCGTGAGAACTAATTTAGTTATAGGCATTTGTGCTACAGAGAATTTTAACAGATTTCAGTACCAAGAAGTAATTTGCTGTTTTGATTGTCACAGTCGGATTTTCTTTTCCGTTAGCACCAAAAGCTTGCTGAGGAAATTTTCCTGTCAACCGTTAAACCAAAAAGAAAGTAACTATATTAATGAAATAATTTCAATATATCAACAAAGTTGAAATGGTAAATTGGCCACCGTTACGATTATAAAAGCTGACGTTTCGAGCGTTAGCCCTTCGTCGGAGCAAATAGGGGAATTGTGGGTTGTGTGTGCTTTTAAAGGTAGAAAAAGGAGCTATGTGATTGGTAGGAACATGGCAACGAGAAAAACACGAATAAATTAGTGGAATGAAAAGCGTTCGTTGATCCCTGTGGGATTTAGACTGCCGGTTTGAAAGATGAGCTTTTGTTCAAGAGTTTTCCGGCTTTCCGTGCTACCTTAGTGTAAGGAAAGACCGCAAATTGCCATGTGTTGCTTAGAATGGTTAGGTGAATTAAAATGTCTAGTGACTGGTTTCGATGTGTCCTTGTCATTCCTCTCCACGTCGCGAAGGTTTTTTCGGAATGGGTCACCTAGTCTTCTGCCTGTTTCGCCGATGTAAATCTTTTTGCAATAAGTGCAAGTTATGCAATAGATTACATTGGCGGAGGTGCATGTGAAGTGATCGGTGATCTTAATGGATCGTTTGGGTCCCGATATTATCTCAGTGTTGTGAATGAAAGGACACGTTTTGCATCGTGCACGAGCGCATTTAAAAGTGCCTGGTTGGTCATTAGTCTGAAAAGAACTTCTGACCAAAAAATTGCCTATGTATCGACTCATTATTTTCCTCTCTGCGTTTCTGATCATTATTCATGATCACACTTAAATAGTTATCAAGCTTCTTCTTTTAATGATTTCTACCAGTTGTTAAAACGAACTCTAGAGGTTATCAGCAGATTTCGTTAACTTTGATACCATAAGGCAGAAATGGCTTTGAAATTCTTCCTTGTTTATATTACTGTGGAGCAACACGAATTTACAATAACAGTCAAATCATTCTTTTTCACTAAACATGTTGCGATACAAAAGGCAGAGTATAGTGGACTGTGGGTTCAATTAGCATTAGGTGTTTGTTACTTACGATACAGTATCATGACAGTTTTGATTGGTGACAGAAGATCACCCCATCGTATTTTTTTGCTTGGTTGACAACGGTGACTCTGGTTTATTTTAACTCTTCATTGAACCCGTTTCTTTCCTGTTGGAAGATAAGTGAAGTAAGACGAGCAATGAAAGAGATAATATGACATGTATTTTGTTTTACGTGAAGTTAGAACATTGTTTCGTTATGAATGACAGTAGAAAAATGTACCTCCGCTGGCTGAGCTGTGTGTTTGGCCTTCTAGTTCTGTGACTGTCATAATTTTTACAGAAATATCGAAGAGAATTTAACAATTTCTTTATAAAGGGGCTTTCTTCTGTTAAAGCTTATAAATTGTTTCAAAGAGGTTCAAGCTTTCTAAAGCGTATTACCTTCTTTCTTGAACGAAAGACATACTATGACACCATTAACGAACCCCGGGGGGGACTCCCATATGAAACAGACGGGGATGCGCGTGGGAAATTTTGAATTTAACTCCTAAAGGAGACCATCTGGGCGTGGCTCAAGCTTTTTGTGACCCCTAAAGGAGACCAATCTGGGCGTAGCTTAAGCAAATTTTGACCTCTAAATAGACCTCATTAATCTTATTATAATTCTCTTTACCATTTGTAGAAATCTTTGATTTACAATCACAGAGGTAATACGGTAAACAAAACAAGTTAAAAAGAAAATTTCACTTCTGTTTCTCTTCGCGTAATTATGTGTTTCTTCGCGGAACCCTAAACGAGACCTTGGCGGCTTAAAATATTGGCGCGTTGCCCGGAACAACCTAAGCGAGACCAAAATCCAAAATTTACACCCCTAAGCGAGACGACGAGCATCCCCGACTGCTTCATATGGGAGTCCCTTCCCCGGGAAAGAACCCTCGAGAACCTGCTCTCTGAGGTTCAGTTACTTTTGAGATTAAAGTGTACCTAACAGTCCAAGAGTTCAATCCGAAAACGAAAACCAGGGTGGTGAACGTCTGCACAACGAGTCTGTAGTCTGTGTGTACCAGCGTGGTCCACCCAGCCGCAGCTTATACCGGATTCCTTAGCATGAATTGACAGGGAGTATCCTAAACCCTCCCTCCCCCGGCCCCCCCTCGCCCCCTGACTAGGAAGCTGGTTCATCTTAAGGTTACCCCCAAGCATTTCATCAAGCTTCCCTGACAATAGCCTTGATATTATTTTTCGGCGAACCATACGCTTTCAACGCGAAACTTAACATTCAATTATATTTCAAAATTAAAAACCTCTGGAAAATGACTTAAATTTTTCGTTTTGCAAAGCCAAAACGGGCCGAATTTACCCTGTTTAAAAAAAAGACAGAAAAAAAATCAAAATTTTGAAAACAAAGACTACTAGTCTCTGCGGAGTTCTAATGTTCTCGCTATTGTTTTCATTGAACAAAGACTGAATGCATAATTAATGTATGGGGTTATATGGAATTCTTGCCTTAACTTTCCCTCTTTCTTGCTTTTTTTAATCTTTTCATACTTTATGGATTCTACTACAAAACCCGAGAAATAGTTCGAAGTACTGAGCGCCCCCTGGAGAATGAGCGCGTGATTGTCGGAATGTATGATCAGCACCAAGAGATTGGTTTGTCTCATTCCAAATAATTCAAAAATTTGTTACCACTGCCACTGCCCTCAGTGCGGAGCAAGCTATCGAAGGTGAACGTTCGGTACGTTTCTGGTCGTGTATTCTAACCTTGCTGAATTAGGAAACAAACAAACTTTTATCAACCTGTCTTGGACCCGTTTCACAAAGGAACTCTCGGAGGTCAGTCGTTGTGAAAACCATGACAAACTTGCGTTTGGAGGGAAGATAAGTTCATGCTGATGGCTGTCGGTGTGATTAA